TTTATATTAGATTACAGGGAATTGTAATCTAAACCAAAAATCTGTCCTTTACAACTCCATAATGACCAAAATACCAATTTAGTCTACAGAAATTATGTCCTATATAATCTATAAAATTAATAAAAAGTAGTATTAACTACATCATATGTAAATACTCACACGAAAAATTAGGCACGAAACAAATGCTAAAAGAAGCCGTGGACCCACTAAGCAGACTATTGAATTCCAAAAGATTTTAGCGATAATCTAAAAAAAAGGAATTAAATCAAAAACGGATAACTACACATGAATTATAAAGGTATATTTAAAATAGGTCAACTCCTTTTTACTAAAGAAAAGAGCCACTGTCGAAGAACGTAAGTTAAAAACTAGGATAATACTTTAATCGAAGGTACGAAGACAAAGGTGGTGTGGCCTTTTGTAATGTCACAGTTTCCTTTCGTTATATAGAAGTTGTTTGACCTTATTTTCGCAACTTTGTCATATTGGTAGGAAGACCTATAGGAATGCACCTAGTCCGGAGTCCATAGTATGCATAATAACTTCCAGAGTCGGACCGTGGGCGCCGTACATTCCCAATGTACCACGTCCACGGTCTGACTCTGGAAGTTATCATGCATACCATGGACTCCGGACTAGGTGCAATCCTATAAGTCTTCCTACCGATATGACAAAGTTGCGAAAACAAGTTCAAATAACTTCAACAATTATAGTGCTTTATATCAAAAGTTAGACAAATTACCTTTCAAATGAGTATTTTTGTATCAAACTGATATGCAAATAAGATAATAATCCGAATATTAATTATATAATATTCATAACAGCCGAATATAAAAAGATAATACAAATAATGAGACTATATAAACAGTCATGGCAAGATATACTCTGTACCTATAACGTAGTTGAAGTAAGTACGGTGTATTAAGTAGGCTCCAAACTACCAGAATCTTGAGCTATATTCACTCTGGGTTATCTAAGGTGAGGGAGGACCAATGGTCTAATTTTTTACTTCGCTTTGCTCGTCATAAGGTATTATCATCCAAATAAAATGAAGTTTTGACTGTCTTTCACCCCAGATAAAAATACCTGATAAGGCAGAACTAAGTTAAATCCGTTAGCGACGTGAGACCTATTAATGTCATTGTTATAAAATTCAACTAGCATGCGAACTAGAGTGGATATAACTCTTATTTAAGTAGAGTTTGTTTGAATGATAGAATATGCATTTAAACCGACAATAATGGCATTATTAGAGTTAGGGGCAATATTAGTGACTATACTACGTGCAATTATACCCAGCTGGTGGCAGTAGTGGCCAAAAGTTAATGACGAAATAATAGCAATGCTTGAGTTAAGATATTCATACAGATAATACTTATCATACAAGTGTGTGTAGAGGGAAACTCTTTCACCTGACATTTTAAATGACTGCCAGATGGCAGAATCATGTAAGTAGAGAGTTGAGTGCCCGAATTTGCTGAGTACTCAGTAGGAGATCTGCGGCGCCTGGTAGCAGATTCTGCATTTACAATGGAAGGCGAAGAAATGAATAGCTTGAGGAGAAGAAAAAAGAGATTGCTGAGAAGAAGGGAGACACCAAACGAAGTGACCAAAAGAGGGTTACCAAGCTGGAAAAGACAGGTAAGGAGAAGACTGAACAGAGAAACCATAGTGATGATTATGGACTGAAAAAAAAGGGATGAAATGGGATAAAGCAAAATAAAGATGGATATAAACAAGGAATGGAAATAATTTGCATGATAATATAAACAAACCTACCACTTAAATAGAAATTAAGGAATAGAAGATCCTACCTCCAGAAGCCCCAGGGCTAATGATTACTAAAAAAAGTGAGTAAATCCATACCGGCC